AACTCTTGTTATCTAACAGCAACAGTAACAAATTTAGAATAGTGCGTGAAAATCACACAAAACTATTATCCCTCAATTATATCACACGTATGCTTATATAAAATCCTGAGCTTAAAAAAAAAAAAGGAAAAAAAGGAATATGGAAGATATTCGTGTGGTTGTTTCCATAGATTTCGGAACTACAAATTCTGGATTTGCTTTTGCTCACAAAGAAAGGCCCGAAGAGAGGGAAACATACAATACATGGTACTTTTAAAGTTATTTATTATTTCATATTATTACACATTATTATATTATTCGTTTTTCAAAAAATAGGCCGGGTAACCAGGGCACATTCAAAACACCTACAGCACTTCAATATGACTCGAAATATAAAAACGTGACAGCTTGGGGTGTAAAGGCTTTAGTTGAATTTCAAGAAGACGCAGAGTCTTCTGATGATGACGAAAGTAATCAACTTTCGAGACCAGTAGAATTATTCAAATTACATTTACTTGATTTAAAAGAAGAAGATAAACCGTGGTTACCACCTGAATTAGATTATAAACAAGCAATCAAAGATTATCTAACTGAAATGCGAAAATTAGTTGAAGAAAGACTTTCTTCAAGATGGAGCAATGTTAAATTTCCTAGTCAAGTTAGAATTGTACTAACTATCCCTGCAGAATGGGTATCGTAACTCTTTTTTTTTTGATTTTGTTCCCATGTAAATTTTATATAAATCACAAATTTGGTATATACGTATTCGTTTTCATGCTTCATCAATCAGCCTCCGCATACTACCAAAATCATGCGCGAATGTGCATATAAAGCCGGTTTATTAAATAAATTATTTTCTACCAATTTAGAATTTACAACTGAACGTATGTAAAATAATCATATCTGATATTGGTTTATTTTATTTTGAACGCATAAATAATAATAAACTTCTTGAATTTTTAGCTGAAGCTGCTGCTCTACACTGTCTTAGCGTTGTTAAAGAGCATAATTTAAAACCAGGAGGTATATATTAGCATTTTTTCCTTTTTTTTTTTTTATTTTTCTATTTATTTGTTTATTTATTTATTTTTATTTGTCTTATACTTATTTAAATATATTGGTTTTGATATATAGATTCTTTCTGTGTTGTAGATTGCGGAGGTGGTACAGTCGATATAACAATTCGTAAGTTACTTGAAAAAAACGAATTAAGTGAAATAACTGAAAGAATCGGTTATCCTTGTGGAAGCACGTTTGTGGACAAAGAATTTCTGAAATTTGTTGGTGAAAAAGTTGGAATGCATGCTTTATCAAATTTTAAAAAGAATCATTATAAGCAAATTCAATTTTTGGTACAACGATTCTTTTGCCACAGAATTAAATTTGAGTTTAATGGAAAGCAATCAGAATGGAAGACCATTAAATTGAATTTATCAAGTTATTGCTCTAGTTTACAAGAATACGTCACTGGTGATCGAAAAACTGAAATGGA